GGACATGTACGAGGACAGCAGGACATGCATGAGGACAGCAGGACATGTACGAGGACAGCAGGACATGTATGAGGACAGCAGGACATGTATGAGGACAGCAGGACATGCATGAGGACAGCAGGACAGTGGTGAGATGTGCTGTAGGAGTGACAGATAGCTTCAAGGTGGAGGTGGGAGTGCATCAAGGATCAGCTCTGAGCCCCTTCTCGTTTGCTCTGGTGATGGACTGACTAACAGATTAGGTCAGGCAGGAATCCTCGTGGACTAAGATTGCTGTAATTAAATTAGGGTTGGCTTGTTATGTTGCCTTAAGCTTAGCTGCATTCACACCAGCCCTGTTTAGTCGCTTTAATCGAACTCTAGCACGTTTTCCTAGAAAGTCCGGTTCGTTTAGGGAGGTGTGAACGCACCATCAAACTCTGTCACGGAACAAAAAGGTGAACTCTGGCCCGGGCTAAAACCTAGGTCTGGGTCCAGTAGAAGCGAACTCCAGCACGGTTCCAGTACAGTGTGAATGTAAACAGACCGGGTCCCGCTCCACAGGACAAACAAACACACATTTCTCTTATATGGAGCCGTCAGCTGACTTGTGTGAAGAACAATATTCTCCATGGTCTTCTGTCTCATCTTCTGCTCATGCTGAGTCCATTGTTGAAAAATGACAAAATATAACTCCTAAAACTGATAAAACTTGATGCCACTTCGTTTTTATTTTTATTTACAGAAGAAGAAGAAGACGTGTCTTCAGAGGTTTTTGTGTCGTTTCTTTCAGTAGTTCTTGGTGCAGCGCCCCCACAGGTGAGCGGGGGAACAGGTTGGTTCAACAGGTTGGTTCAACAGGTTGGTTCAACAGGTTGGTTCAACAGGTTGCTTCAACAGGTTGCTTCAACAGGTTGCTTCAACAGGTTGCTTCAACAGGTTGCTTCAACAGGTTGGTTCAACAGGTTGCTTCAACAGGTTGACTCGACTGCACAGTGCAGTGTGAATGCAAACGCACCAGCTCAAATGTAACAAAATGTCATGAATATTGGTCCCGAACTGAACCGAGTCTAGCGGAGTATCTGGTGTGAAAACAACCTAAGTCTGCTTTAATCAAACTCTAGTCCATTTGCCTAGAAAGTCCGGTTCATTTGGGGAGGTGTGAATGTGCTATCGAACTCTGATACGGACCAAAAAAGTGAACTCTGGTCCACCTAAATACCAAGGTCTCGGTTCGGTTGAAGTGAACTCTGGTGTGGTTTGAATGCAGTGTGAATGCAAGCAGACCAGAGACCTCTCCAAAAGCAGGAAGTGGACTACAATGCAGGGCAAACAAACGTGCATTTCTCTTACCTCATACAAAGCCATCAGCCGCCTTGTGTGACAAACAGCATTCTCCATGGTCTTCAGCCTCCTCGTCCACTCATGATGAGACCATTGTTGAAAAATGACAAAACAGAACTCCTAAAACCACTAAAATTTAACAACACCCCGTTTTTGTTTTTATTTCCAGAAGAAGAAGAAGAAGTGTCTTCTTCAGACAAAAAAAAGTCCATGCTCAATAATCCAGGTATACAATCCAACAAGTTTCAGTCAGGTCATCTGGACATTTCCTTTTTTTGTGCTGAAACGTTTCACCTTCCATCCAGAAGGCTTCATCAGTCAAGGAAACACACAACACAAAATTTATTCTTCCCTCAAACAGCTTACTCCAAAGAGGAACAAACCTTCTGTCTTCTTCAGAGGTTTTTGTGTCATTTCCTTCAGTAGTTTTTGGTGCAGCGTCACCACAAGCGAGGGGGGGAGGGGGGACAGGTTGGCTGAACTGACTCAGTGCAGTGTCAATGCAAACTGCACCAGCTGAAATGTAAACAGATGTTATGAATATTGGTCCCCAATCGAACTACTGGACAAACTGACCTCATGTCCTTAAATGAATTGTTAAAATTGAATGGTTTTCAGGGCAGCACGGTGGCGCAACTGGTAGAGCTGCTGCCTCTCAGCGAGCAGGTCCTTGGTTCAAACCCCGGTCCAGGGGCCTTTCTGGGTGGAGTTTGCATGTTCTCTCCGTGCATGCGTGGGTTTTCTCTGGGTGCTCCGGTTTCCTCCCACAGACCAAAAACATGCATGTTAGGCTGATTGGTAACTCTGAATTGTCCCTAGGTGTGAGTGAGAGAGTGAATGGTTGTTTGTCTCGTTTGTCTCTATGTGTCCCTGTGATGGACTGGAGACCTGTCCAGGGTGTCCCTGTGATGGACTTGAGACCGGTCCAGGGTGTCCCCCACCCCTCGCACAGTGATTGCTGGACATGGGCACCAGTGTCCCCCGTGACCCAAAATGGAATAAGCGGGTAAAGATAATGGATGGATGGTTTTCATTTGATACTATTTCTATCTTAACATGTGTTTCTTGACCTGCCATTGTTTATCTATTCCTAACAAACCCAGCCGGTCGAAGCAGATGGTCCTCTTGTCCTGATCCTGGTTCTGCTAAAGGTTTCTTCCTCATGAGGAAGTTTTTCTTTCCACTGTCGCCTACATGCTTGTTCAAGATGAGAGTTCTGTGATGGAGTTAAACTCAAAGCTGCTCCTCAGATAAATAATGTTCAATTATTATTTTATACATGAATGTTTCTGTTCAGTTATTATTTTATAGATGAATGTTTCTGTTCAGGCCCTGAGACGATTCTGTTGTGACTTGGCGCTTCATAAATAAACTGAATTGAATTGAATTCCTAACCAGAGAGCTGAGAGGGAACCAGTGTGAGAGGGACGCTCGCACCTGATGGATGGTCACCAGGTGGACAAACTTTTCAAGGGCGGTAGGAGCTGAAATTGTTTGGTGGGTTGCATAAGCTGAGCATTGACTGTTGCATTATGGCCTCCTCTTCAGGGGGAAATAGTGAGAATGAGATGGATGATGACAAAATCGTCAAAACCGTCAAATAAAATCTAAGAAGAAGAAGCAATGCAGAAGAAATTATAATTATGTACAGTATATGCAGAGATGCATCGAAAAATACACCAAATAGAATTGGGATAGCGTTCATTGTAGCACAGTTTCATATTAAAGTAGTAAAAAGGGTTAGTGATGGAGTATCAGTTTATACAGGAGAAATGCTGCTTTACTTTTAGCAGTTCAGTGGGTAGAAGAACCATTTGCTCAGATTCTAGTTCGTCATTGTCCAGTTTGCAACACAACCAGTCAGACAGTAGACCAGATATATTAATTGAAATACAACACTTTATAGAATAATCACGTTACAGTAAACTTTATATGGGTTCCAGCACATCACGGGGTTATGGGGAATGAAAAGGCAGACAGGATGGCTAAGGAGAGCACCAGTCGCGATGTGGTTGATATTAATGTTAGGTTTAGTAGAACAGAAATAAAGGGTATGATTAAACAAAAATGAAAGCGAGTTGGCAAAAGTTGTGGGAGGAAGAAAGGAAAGAGTGGTGGTTTTATAAAATCCAAAGGAAAATTGGAGAAAGGAGAAGAACAGAAAGAAACAGGAGAGAAGAGACTTTATTTCATGACTCAGAATTGGGCACACTGGGCTGAAGAGCACATTATTTTTAATGATTTTAATAAACATCAGACAGGGACATGTGAGTGTGGAGAAGAGGAAACAATAGAACATATTATTTTGTATTGAAGGAGTTACCAGGTTCAAAGAAACAAGTTAGTTAAGAATCTTAGTAATGTGAAAATTAAAGTGGACATTGTTAATTTATTATAGAAAGATTCAGGAAGCAGAGGATATCAGGCTATATTTAACTTTTTTCAAACAGTGCAAGTTGTGTAATAGGATCTAAACTTATTATTTTGTTGTTGTTATGTGGGCCACACTCCTTACCAGCAGGTGGCGGTAATGCTCCAAAACACTGTCTGCCAACCGCCAGATAAAATCGACGAAGAAGAAGAAAAACGACGAAGAAGAAAAAGAAGAAGAAGAAGACGACAGAGCTCTGATTTGAAGGTAATCCTGTAAATTAACGCCGAGCTTTGCCAGAGAAAACACCGAGCTGATTTTTTATTCAGCCTTTGTGCTCAGTGGAATGAGGATGTTTCGTAAGAAAGTGTGATTCAACATTATTCAACGTAAAAAGTGACGTGAGCAGCTCCTGTCGGCGTCGCGCTAACATCCCGATATTTTATATTTTAATCTTTCTGTATGATCTTCTGGTTAAAACGCTGACACAAATGTTACGTTTCAGCTAAAGAAGTAATTAAGTTTCTCACTGATCAAGTCCAATAATAAGAAGTGCTGTGTGTTGCCATGTATGTTCCATGGTTGGTTCTCTGCATCGAACCCATCGCAGCATGGTGGCGCAGTGGGCGGCTGTGTGGCCGGCCCCCTTACTACTGGACATGAATAATACCAGCTCTATTTTAATAATACAAATCAAGACTTTCTGCTCCTTGGGGACAAAAAGGCATTGAACACAGGAGCGTTTTATGGATAGAATAATGTTTGAGTGTGGTCTTCTGAGATAAATGTCCGTGCTGTCCTCTGGTCTTGCAGGTAAATCTGTGAAGGATCCTCTTCAGACTCGTTAGATTACTAAACTCGGATTAGAGGACGTCTTCGGAGGACATGGACGTGAGCATTGCCGTGTCCCTCATCAGGGGCCAGATGGGCACCGCCGTGGAGCAAGCGGTGAACGTGGCGGTGGAGACGGTGTTGGCGGAGATGCTGAAGGTGGTCGGGGTGAAGTTTGAGGAGCTGAAAGCTCAGGTGGATCTGATGAAGAAGGACGTGGTGGTGCTCCAGAGGGAGAAAGCCCTGAAGGAGAAGGAGAACGACAACCTCCGAGCAAAGCTGCGCTACACTGAGCTCAAGCTCAAGTACTACCGGCAGGGGGTGGAGGAGGAGCTGCAGCAGAGGGCCTCGGCCCTGGCCCACGTCCACCCTCTCACGCTTGCCCGGACGCAGAGCGGGGCGGCCAGCGTCTCTCTCACTGAGCCATTTCCATCGCGCTCTGCTCAGAAAGCTGCTGATGGAGCGCAGAGGTGGTGCAGTCAAGGTGAGAACAGACATGTTCAGCTCCCGCTCGCTCCTTCTTTGTCTCACTCAGGTTTATGTCTTAAGTCCCAGAATGCACCTCTTCAGAGATGACCGGCCGACGAGCGGTCAGAGGGTACCGTCCTTCAGATGTTCTGGGCTCAGACTCGTGTGAGCTGCTGCTGCCCGACACGCTGGCCCTGAACTCGCCTGCAGGACCTGCAGAGAGCAGCACAGGTGGAGTTGACTCGGCTGCTAGTCTCACGCTCGGCTGCTAGTCTCACGCTCGGCTGCTAGTCTCACGCTCGGCTGCTAGTCTCACGCTCGGCTGCTAGTCTCACGCTCAGCACGTTCTATGGCCGTTTTAAGTTGCACAGTAATCAGTCATGGGCTTCTCTTCTGCAAGTTAAATTGTTTTGCACATAAATTAGAAAGTAAAGAACCGTGCAACAAAATTCGGATGAAGGCACAAAAGTTCGACCTGCGTGTTGAGGCCTGCAGTGTGAACGCAGCTTCACTAATTAGTTTCTAAATACCGATGATCTCTCCCTACAGCCTTTTGTTGCACCATCCTTTGTTTTCTTACATGTTGCTGTTTTAAAATAACCTTTTTATTTTACCATATCTTTAGTTTTAACATTTGATATGTTTAATATGTTCTGTTGTGAATAAACACGGGTTTATGTGATTTATGTCAAATCATTACATCTTATTTTTATTTACAGTTTATGCCCCAACTTGTTTGACCTGAAAGTGTTTCAGAAGCAGATTTATTAACATTTTTGCTGAAGATATGAAGCTGATCTCAGTTTTTGAATGAAGTTGCTTTGAACAGCACGGACACAATGATCTTTGAATTTTAGATCATTTCCAGAATCGATTTTACAGAACAGCGTTGTTCACAGAACAGCTTTGTTCACAGAACAGCGTTGTTCACAGAACAGCGTTGTTCACAGAACAGCGTTGTTCACAGAACAGCTTTGTTCACAGAACAGCGTTGTTCACAGAACAGC